TTAGGATGCACCAAACCTTGAAAACTGGGTGCAAGTGTTGAACCTTCAGAACACATTGATGGCTGATGCACATTGTCTGGACGTTTCTAATTGGCATATATTTAGAAAAAAAAAAAAATTAAAAGCGCCATTTGCACCATTTTCAGTTTAATGATATGACATCTTCATCTCAAATTTTTCCCTAACAAACCTGAATGACTCAAAAATATGTTGGTCAAAGAGGCTGATGACAGAGTCAGAACATAATGTTTGGGTTGTTCTGATATTTTTATAAGAACCAAATGTTCTTGAGAAATTACACTCACTTCTTTCAATGTGTAAAATCTTATGAAGATATTCCTGAAATTATATCAGACATGATGTTCTTTATGAGAACGGGTAGATTCCTCCATCCATCCTCCATTTTCCTCACCTTCCAATGAAGGGAAAACCTTTGCACTTGAGAACTGTCACCCGATAAAAACTTAAGTGAATTTTCTTATGCAGAGAAAAAGCCTAACTGCCTTGGCTGATGTGTGAAATACTAAGACTCAGAGATTAGCAAACAGTTTAAGTATTTCTGTGAATGAATTCTAATTTATTATGTAATTTTTCTCTGTATTGCTTATACTTCAGAATTTTGTGCATGTTGTCAACACACAGTTATATATTCCTGGCCATAGCTGACAGCTTTAAGGTAATAAGCCCTGGAGTCCCCATAGAACAGAGAATTAAACACGGATTTGAATTTACAAAACATTCTTTTAGTCATGCTGATAGCTGAATTTAGCACAAGGATTGCTCTCACAGAGGGTGGCTATACCTCAGCTGGTTCTCTGACAACTTGTGGTTAATACGGAGGTCATCACTGGGTACGTGCAGAAGACTGAACTTTCTCAACCATCAGATTATATTTCAACAGCGTACTTATGAGAAAAAAATGAGCAGATTTTTTAAAATCCTATTTATTACAATTTACAGTAAAGTCATTGTTTAAAGGCCAAGTAATCCGTGAAGATACAGTTTAGCCATTTAAATGGTAACCTATGTAATAAGTGTGGACTCAGAAATCATCACCTTGGCTGGTCATAGAAGTGGTTTTTTTTTGTCCTCGCTACAAATTTGTTACTACATTTCAGGTAGATAAAAGAATGTTTCACATTAAATGATCATTTCCTCTTTCTCGGTTTATATATATGTAACAATGACATAATATATGCAAATATTTGTGAAATAATTTCAGGAAAGGACATACACCATTTTCTTTTGGAAAAGAGTGTCCTAGTTTGTTTGGCATTATACTAAATAATGTATGGGAAACACTTGGGAGCTACTGATCAAAATACCTTTCTGTTGATAACTTGATTTAGTAGATAAGACAAAAAGCTTTTCCCCTTGAAGCTGTTGGATTAAATGAGTTCAAGGTGAGGACTAGCTTAGGAATGGTTCCAAAGAAATGAGCAGTTTTATTTCTTGTGTAACTTCCACACCATCAAGTTCAACACATCCCTGGTAGAAATGTTTGTATTCTTGGCAAAGCGATGAAAAATGACATGAGCTTGATTACACACTATTCTTTTCCAACTACAATCAACTTTTTGAACTCAAGAAAGAGAACTTTACTGAAAAGTTACCTGCTAATTTACTTTAGAAGCTATACTTTCTGAAGTCACTTTATAATTGAGGTGCATTTTCTGACATTAATAATTTAATATTCTATATTTTCAGCCTTCCAACTCAAAAATAAAAAGAAAGATGCTTAAGTAAATTCACCAGCTACATAGCTCCATGAAGACTGCAGTTTTATTCCATTATGAACAATATTTATTTAGAAGGAACACACAGAACTGTTTTCTAATAAACACTGTAAATATCATATAATTCAATATTTTATTAAAAGTAAATATTCTACTGTTATTCCCCCTCCCTCTATTCATACTGCAATGATTTTTACTTACAGGTCTTCTACTAGTTACCTATCTAAGAAGAAGGGAGTTTCTATACATTTGGGATCCATTTCTTGTTCAAAAAAGGGGCAAGATTTAATATCTTTTTTTTTCTTTTTTTTTCCCCCTGTGGGTGCACATTGGACTTAATGGCTTTTCAGTTCCCTTTAGTTCTTATGCCCATCTTCCTTGAAAGTTGCAGGCAGAACTGATAACATGCCATCATTCCCTCAGCACTGGGCCTTATGTTCTAAGTAATATAGAACAAGGTACAAATCCTTTGTCTGTGCTTTAATACCTCATTTATACAACCTAGTCATAATCAATGAGTAGCGTGATCCAAAGAGAAATAACAGCAACTCCCTAGTGTACCAGACAAAGGTAAGATTGAGTGTCAGTCTCTTCTAAAGGAGTTCCTGTGGTCCTTTTCACTGTCTTGCAGAATGGGTGTTGCCTTACAGCCATAGACTTGTTCCTGCTCTGATTTCTGATAATTTTAATGCACTACACTTTTCAGCTTTCTACTCTCATCACTCCGTGCTTGAACTCCGGAAAAAGACCATTAAACATGAGTATTTCAGGCTTAGCATAAATTTCTCGTTTGAAATAAGGAGCTATAGGTTAGGAATTCCCTGCACACTGCTTAGCTGTAATTTCAGGGCATGATTAATTTCTCGGTGCAAATCACCAGGCAGACACCCTCAGGGGTTCCCTTGCTTCTGCTTAAAGCAGAAGATTGTAACAGAGGAGTGCTCGTTCATAGAAGAGACGATTGTAATTTTACTGTTGACATATATCTGCAAATTTTCTCTATATCAGGAGCTACCACTTAGATGTAAACACAGTTTTTTGATAAATTCCTTCCAGATGCTGAAGTCTAAGTTTCAGGATCTCTAGGAAAACGCCATATGCAATGAAAAACCCAGCTTACAACTGAGAGAAATGCATCAAAATACAATGGTGTTTCTCAAAACTGCATTGCCAGAGCCCTGCCTTACCCTCCCTCGCATTGCTCATAACCTCTCGGCAGCAGCCCCACGAGCTGAGGAGCATGAAACATTTGCAGCCAGCAACATCTGATGATAACCTTGGCTGTGACAGACACCATCGCTGCCGCTCCCTCCGCAAGGCAGGGGCGACCCACAAGCCCAGCTCACCCAGACCCTGCAGGCAGGGAGAAAGGGCGGCCACTCAGCTCCTCAGCCGAGCGTTCTGCCCTTTGGGAATTTCCCTCCTCCCTCCCCTGCCGGGAGCTCCCGGTCCCCCTCCCCGTTCCCTCCGTCCCTCCCTGCTCCTTCTGTCCCTCCCTGCTCCCTCCGTCCCTCGCAGCCCCGCGTCCCTCCTCGCGCCGTCGCCGCCAGGTGGCGCCTCGCGACCGCGCTTGGAGCGGAGCCGGGAGAGGGACCGGGAACCGGGGCCGGGAGAGGGACTGGGAACCGGGGCAGGGAGAGGGACCGGGAACCGGGGCCGGGAGAGGGACCGGGAACGGGGGCCGGGAGAGGGACCGGGAAGCGGGGCCGGGAGCTAGTCCCGGAACGGGAGCGGGCTTGGGAATGGGTTCGGTTCGGGAGCGGGTCCAGAGCAAGTCCCAGAGTACTGAAGCGGGTCAGGGAGTGGGTCACGGTCTGCGAACGGGCCGGGAATCAGGACGCCCCGGGGAAGAAAAACATCAATAAAGGGGGAGCCGCCGCCGAACTTTGGGCGCCGAGGTGTGCGGGTCCGAGCGTGGGAATGGGGCTTTGCGGTGTGCGGGGCGCAGCCTTACGGCCCGAAGTGCCCCGAAGAACACGTCTTTTTTAGCGATTATTGTTGTCAGAATCAAAGTCTGTGAATTCCAAAGAGCTCCCAGTAAGCGCTAATGTGTCGGTGGCATGTTGGAACAGGGGCGTCTTAGCACGACGGGTTCAAGTAGAAATAATGGCGAGGGGGAGGGGGGCGAGGCGGCACGGCTGTTCCCTGCCTCCGGTGACACCGGAGAGGCCGTCCCAGTGGGAACATCGCGGCTTGTCGCTGCTGCTCGCGATGTGCCGGGGTGCGGCTCCAAGGCGCAGGGGTGCCTGGCCGGGGCAAGGACTGGGGCGCAGCATCGCCGGCGGTGCTGTGGCAGCACTCCGCTCTGGTCCCGGTGTCTGAATCCCTGCCGGGTGCCTGTGCGTGTGTGTGTGTGTGTGCGTGTGTGCCGGAGAAGAGGGGAGGAGGGAGGAAGAGGGGTGGTGGTGGTAGCGGCTGGCGGGAGGGGGATGATTATTGGCAATGGGCGGGAGAGAAAGAGGCGACTCCTGTTTCCTTTTCTTTCTGCCAGCGCAATCTCGGCTCATTTTCTCTAAGCTATACAAGTTCACGGACGAGCTATCTAGCCAACCCGCCTCTCCCGTCATGGACCTCCCAGGTAAAAAAGCCGCTCTCCTCCCCGCCGGCTGTTCTTTTTGCAAAATATCATTTTAAATGATAGCAAGAGTAAGGTGCGGGGTTAGAGCAACTGTAGAGATGTCTCTGGGGAAGTGTAGGGGCGATCTCCCAGGAGCGAGATCACCGGGCGTTCTGGTGAACGGGAAAAACTGAGATGCAACTTCAGAGGGAGAAGCCGGGTGAGGATTTGACTCCTGCGATATGTGTGCATGCCGGGGTGGGAACTGGAGGATATCTGAGCCAGCTGCCTCCTTCTCGGGAGTTTAGTGAGTCGCCGGGGTCGGCAGCAGTGGCGGTAGCCTGGCCTGGGGCACGGAAGGTTGGGAAGTACAAATCGGTGCCCGAGAGCAGCAGCTCAGGCGGAGAAAGGGCGGCGGCGGCTTCCAGAGCCCGGCCGGGGCCGGAGTGCGGAATTCGGGGCGCCCCGGCCGCCAGCGAACTCTACAGATAGCGGGGCAGCTCCATCGAGGGGATGCTTATAACAAGAGTAAAATCTCCTTCCGAGGTGTCTGGGGCGTTAGGAGACGGATACAAACCAGGGTCGCAGATGTAGTTAATAGTGGGTCTGTGGGAAGAAGTGGAGCCGGGTTTTGGAGACCCCTTTGGTTGTGGGGCAGGAAAGGGGCTGCCCGAGGCACCCCAGGATGCTCCGCCGGGGGCTTGGGCATGAGCGCTGCCCCTCCTCCCCCCTCGGAGTACGGCAGGCTGCTGGGGAGCCGGAGAAAGAGGGAACACCGGGCAGCCAGGTGTCTCCCAGACCTGTTGTACTCGCTGGGGCGCCGGGGGCGGGGAGGGGCAGCCCGCCGGGCTCCCGCCTGCCCGCTGCTGCGCTTCACCGCCGCCTTTCCCCTCGGCAGGCTGCTGCGTGCCGCCCGCCCTCTGAGAAGGCTCCTTCGCCCCGCGCACAGGAGGAGGCGGAGGAGGAGAAGGGGAGGAAGGCGCGGCCGCAGCCGCCGCTGCCCAGCCGCCGTCCCGCAGAGCGCTGGCCGCAGGGCGCCGGGGCGGCAGCAGGCGCGCAGCCCCCTCCGCCTCCCCGCGGCCGCCCGCCC